TTTGGGATCGTGAAGGTATAGTATCATGTCGTCTGCAAAAAGGGATAGTTTAACTTCTTCTTTCCCTATGCGGATCAGACATATATTTAAAACATTAAATGTACAGAAGAAGGAAAGAATATTGAAAGTTTAAGAGAGAAGTCACAAGTCACACTGGGAAATCCATCAGGACAGCAAATTTAGTAGAAACTCTTAGATCCAGGAGAGCTTGGAAAGACATATTTTAAGACTTGGAAGTAATAATTGCTAACTTAGAATATTCAAAACAGCTATACTGCAAAATTAAAGGAAATGATCAATAAAAATTAAAAGAATTCAGAACTACCAAACCAGCAGTACAGAAGATACTTAAAGGCATCTTACACATAGAAGAGAAAGATAAACACAACCAGTGAAGTACAGGTGAGATAAATCTCACTATAGCGGGTTGGGAAGTTAGCTTAGTGGTAGAGTGCTTGCCTCACATGCATGAGGTCCTGGGTTCAATTCCTCAGTACCACATAAGCAGAAAAAAGCCAGAAGTGGCGTGGTGGCTCAAGTGGTAGGGTGGTAGCCTTGAGTTGAAGTGCTGAGGGACAGTGCCCATGCCCAGAGTTCAGCCCCCAGGACTGACAAAAAAAAAAAAAAAAAAATCTCACTAGAGAAGTTGAAAGCAAATGAGGATTAGAAAAAGAACCATTCATTGAAAGAAACAAAATGACAATAATGATGATAATAATAATAATAACTCCAAATGTTAATGGCCTCAATTCTCCAATCAAAAGATACATATCAGCAGGTTGATTATAGAAAACAAGACCCATTGTCTTTGTTTATGGAAGACACATTGTATTGAGAAAGAGAAATACAAGATTAAAGTGAAGATAGGAAAAAATACCTTCTAAGCAAATGGAGCCCAGAAGCAAGCAGAGTAGCTATACTAATTTTTGACAAAGTAGACTTAAAAACAAAATTAAGAAGAGACAAACAAAAGTGATATTGAGAAAGGTAACAGTCTACTAAGTGGAGATAACAATTGTAAATGTTTATATACATACATATACCTAATTTCATAAAACAGATACTATTGCCATGAAAGCACAGATTTTTTTTGTCCTTCATGGAGCTTGAACTCAGCTTGGGTGGCTAGTGCTCTACTACTGAGCCACAGCACCACTTCCTGTTTTCTGGTGGTTAATTGGAGATAAGAGTTTCATAGACTTTCCTGCCTGGTCTGGTTTTGAACCTCAGTCCTCAGATCTCAGCCTCCTGCATAGCTAGGATTTCAGGTTGAGCCACCAGTACCTGGCTAGCACAGACTAACATAAATTTTAGTTGTCAGTTATAAATAATTATAATTCTTGTGAAATGTTACTACCATTTACCTGTGTTTCATTGATTTATCATTTAGTGATCCTTTTAAAATATATATGTATATATATATATATATATATATATATTTTTTTTTTTTTTTTTTGTCAGTCATGGGCCTGAACTCTGGGCCTGGGCGCTGTCCCTCAGCTCTTCAGCTCAAGGCTAGCGCTCGACCACTTGAGCCACAGCACCACTTCTGGTTTTTTCTGCTTATGTGGTGCTGAGGAATTGAACCCAGGGCCTCATGCATGCAAGGCAAGTGCTCTACCACTGAGCCACCTTCCCAGCCCCATCCATTTAATATTTTTGAGAACCAATTGTATGCCAGACAGAATTTAAGGACACTCAAAAAATTACTGTCTGGGGCTGGGATGTAGCTCAGTGGCAAAGCGCTTGCCTAGCAAGTGCAACATCCTGGGTTTGATCCCCAATACTAAAAAAGACAAAAAAATACAGTTAAAAAAAATTACTGTCTAGTATAGCTGACAGGGAAAAAGTAAGTGATGATTATGTAATGTGATGAGCACTGTGATAGTGGAAGACAAAGGATCCCATGAGAGTTAAGAGGAAGGCACCAGTCTTAACTTAATATGTGAAGTTGGGTAACTTTTAACCAGTCTTACTAAAGGAGGTGAGACTTAAGCTGGGCCCTAGGGCTTGTGATAGTAAGATAATTTAACAGTGAGGGTAAGTGGGAAGGCATTTTAGGCAGAGGAAACAAATTTTACAAGGGCAAGGAAGTATCAGATGGCATGTCAAGTTCAAGAAGCTTTAATATTAGTAGTAAAAATGGCTTCAGGACTGGGAATGTGGCTTTTAGTGGTAGAGTTCTGGCCTAGCATGCATGAAGCCCTGGGTACAATTCCTTAGTACCACATAAACAGAAGCTCAGGGACAGGCCCTGAGTTAAAGCCCCAGGACTGGCAAAGAATAAACAAAAAATGGCTTCATCATGTGGCACATGTGAGGGAATATCACTTGAGGAAGCTCAGTAAGTGGCAGAGCTATTTCATGGAGGCCTTAAATATCCTCAAGTACCAGACATGTGCCAATTGTTGAAGGTACAAATAAGAACAAGGCAAAGCCCTTGAGGAATGTGTTTATAGCTCTAATTTTTGTTTATACATCAGCAGTTTACAAATTAATTTTAATCTCTAGCCTACACCTCTCCTTGACTTTAGATCTATATAACTAACTTCCCGTTAAATATATCTACAGTGTGGGCTACATGAAAGTAATTAATTCATTGCCTTTGTTCTCTGCTCTCTTAATTCCTAGAACAATGCCTGTTAAAATTTACTAAATGATTAAACAAATTAATAATTTTTACTTGTATCTTTCATAGATATCTCAGATGCCATAAGCTTCATATCAAATTTTTGATCTCCCTTTAATCTGTCCCTTTCCTAATGCTCCCTGTTTCCATGATTGGTACCATCTGTATAGGTGTATTTTTTTTTTTTTTGGGACCAGCCATGGGGCCTGAACTCTGGGCCTGGGCACTGTCCCTCAGCTCTTCAGCTCAAGGCTAGCACTGTACCACTTGAGCACAAGGCTACCACAGCACCACTTCCGGTTTTTTTCTTTTTGCTTATTTGGTGCTGAGGAATCGAACCCAGGGCCTCATGCATGCAAGGCAAGTGCTCTACCACTGAGCCACCTTCCCAGCCCCATGGGTGTATTTTTGACATTTTCCTTTACCTTCACTATTCATCACCAAGAAAAAACAAACTTTTGGTGGTATTGGGGATTGAACTGTGCAAATCAAATGCTCTGCCATAACTCTAGCCCTTGTGACATGTTTCCTTATGTATCCATTTCTGTCCATCTTTATTATTTCTGGGTAGACTCCCATTTCTGTCCTAGTGCTGTACAGTAGTAGCAAATATTCACTGTCTACTCTGGTTTTTCAGTCTGTTATTCATACTTTTATTAGAACAATAATAATAAACACAAAGCCTACAAAATCTGTGTCTGATATTCCTATTTGAAATCATCTGCCTTTAGGATAGATAACAAAATTCTTTTTTTTGTCAGTTATGGGGCTTGAACTCTGAGCTTGGGCACTATCCCTTAGCTCTTCAGCTCAAGGCAAGTGCTCTACCACTTGAGCCACAGTGCCACTTCCTGTTTTCTGGTGGTTAATTGGAGATAAAAGTCTCATGGACTTTCCTGCTTGGGCTGGATTTGAACTGAAATCCTTAGATCTCAGCCTCTTGAGTAACTAGGATTACGTCAGCGACTAGCTCTTTTTTTTTTTTTTTTTTGAATGCCAGTACTGGAGCTTGAATTTATTATGGCTGGTGCTGTACCACTTGAGCCACACTGCCACTTCTGGCTTGTTGCTTGTTAATTGGAAATAAGAGTCAAATGGATTTTTCTGCCTGGGCTAGTTTGAACTTCAAACCTCAGATCTTAGTCTCTTAAGTAGCTAGGATTTCAGGTGTGAATAACTAGCATCCAACCTGATCTGGAGGGTACTGTGTACTTACATCTTGTGTCACTCTTTTGGACTTTCTGTGCTGTAGACAAGTTAGTTTCTCCCTGGACACTGTCCTGGGCCTGGGCACTGTCCCTCAGCTCTTCAGCTCAAGGCGAGCGCTCTACCACCTGAGTCACTGCACCACTTCTGGTTTTCTGAGTGGTTTATTGGAGATAAGAGTCTCATGAACTTTCCTGCCCGGGCTACCTTTGAACCATGATCCTCAGATCTCACTCAGCCTTCTGAGTAGCTAGGATTACAGGCGTGAGCCACTGGTGCCTGGCGACAAGTTAGAGCTTTTTAACTTTTTTCCAGTAGATTGTTTTTTTCTGCCTTAAAACTACAATATATATAAATAGTATATATATAAATATATAAATAAATATTTATATAAATATATAAATAGTAGCTTTTGTTATATATTATAAAATAGGATGCCTATTGTTAGAGAAATGTATGTATCAATATTTTTGAGGAGATACTTACAACTTTGAAAGAGTAATATTCCCTACAGTATTCTTTTCTTGAAAAATAAAGTATTATTTATGAATGATTGCAAATAAGGACAAGAATTTTCAGTCATAATTTTTGCTCTTGGGTTATATCACTCCTCAATTTTCCTTTATCATATTATGAAACATTTAAAGCTTCATTTATTCTTTTTTGTTTTTAAAGTAAAACAAATTCTGTTGTAAATTTAAGCCATTTTGTTTTTCAAGAATGCCTCAGCATTGAGATTGGAAGGAAATGTAGGATATGCCATGATTTAAAAATAAAACAAAGCCTCTAGAGTTTTTATGGAAGTAATGACTTAATCAATATAAGTAGAAGTCGCCACTTTGAAAATAGTGTTTTTTAAATTACTCTCTTTGATTACAAATAAAACAAATCTTACATAGACATATAAGCATCACAGCTGAGCTGTGTTACTTAAAATTATTGTATTTGGTTTTATTGAATTGAAGGTTATTATTTGGTTTTATGTGATAATTGTTTCACATTTGATGTTGAATGTTTTGTTTAGTTAAAGTACAGAATATTATGTAATATTTCTTCTGTAAAGTGAGAGATTGTTTCTGTTATTTCAAATTTTATGTAGTCACACACGTATGGTATCATGCAATATATACTAATTACTAATTTTACCCTGATCTTTTTCTTTAAGTCAGTATGGAAGATTAAGTCTACAATAGAATACAATCAAGTGATGGCTTTTTCTTTAGAATTTGAATATGGAGGCCACAGGAACAGATGAAGTTGACAAGTTAAAAACCAAATTTGTATCTGCTTGGAACAACATGAAATACAGTGAGTATGATTTGTCCATTATCTAAATACAAAGAAGTATTTAAAGATGTATATATTATCTTCTTTAGGTCACCATTACTTTTGAATGAAATACTTTATCATAGACTATAAGCAGTGTAGATAAGAATCTTTTAAAGAAAGAGTTGAATATTATTATGAGCATTGCTTAGAAACTCTACTGAGTAGTATTTTCCCCCTAATTTGATAGAATATATAGATATCATATTATTATTATCATTATTGTTATTACTATAATGAGGTACTGGAGTTTCAACTAAAAGCCTCATGCTTGCTAGGCATCTGCTATCCTACTTGATTCACACATCCCAGTCATTTTGCTTTCATTAGTTTTCAGTCTCTCTTTTTGCTGGAGCTAGCCTGGACCGAGATCTTCCTGTTTACCCTTCACTTCTAGCTTGAATGACTGTCCAGTAATTGTCCCCTCCCCCCCAGCATTTTTTGTTAAATTGATTGAGATAGGTGTTTCATGGACTTTTTGTCTGGGCTGGTAATCCTCCCAATCTTAGCCTCCTGAATAGCTAGGACTCCTCCCCTTCCCTCCCTTCCTTCTCCCCCTCCCTTTCCCTTCTCTTCTTTTTTTGTCAGTCTTGGGGCTTGAACTCGAGGCCTGGGTGTTCTGCCTGAGCTTTTTCGTTCAAGCTTTTTCAAGCAGCCACTACTTCTGGTTTTCTAGTGGTTAATTGGAAATGGGCTTTCCTGCATGGGCTGGCTTCGAACCTCAATGCTTAGATCTCAGCCTTCTGAGTAGCTAGGATTATAGGCATGAGTCACCAGGCGACCTAAATTTTTTTTTTTTAACATTCCAAAGCAGATAGAATTTATTCAGGTGATAATAACGGTGTTGTTCATATTCAATTTTTGGCATCTTCACCTCTCAATCAGGAAGTAAACAAAATTGACTTCTGAACACACCAAATAGAAGTTCAGTATAATAAAGTTCTGACTTTATTATACTCTCAGGTCTTTGTTTTTAGCTAGTTACTCTTGCCAAACAAATCTGATAAGGATTGTTGAAGGTGAAGAAGCCCTCAAAGAGAGAGAAGTATTCTGGCAGAATTAGTTTCAGTAGAAAGAAGTTCATATCCATAAAGTAAGAATGATAACAAAATTCAATGAAGTGTTTTATAATGCAAATTCAAGTTACAACAATGAGTATTTGGCTTTTGGTCCACTGGAAGTGATGGTCAGGTAGTTATATAGATGGCTGTCACTTGGAAGTAATACAACATTACATGTTGAATGTAAATTACATTAAATGTACATTGAATGTACATTTAAAGTTTTATTTACGTATTGTTGTTCATGAACTCTGGCTTGGTTCCCTTCCTTGAGCTCTTTAGCTCAAGGCCAGCGCTCTACCATTTGAACCACAGCACCATTTCCGGTTTTCTGATGGTTAATTGGAGATAAGAGTCTCATGGACTTTCCTGTCCAGGCTGGCTTTGAACCACAATCAGTAGATCTCAGCCTCCTGAGTAGGTAGGATTACAGGTGTGAGCCTCCAGTGCCTGGCTTAAGTTTTGAATAATTAAGGTTCAGATATATTTCACAGGGGCTGGGAAGGTGGCTCAGTGGTAGAGCACTTGCCTTGCATGCCTGAGGCCCTGGGTTCGATTCCTCAGCACCACATAAGCAAAATGAAAAAAGCTGGAAGTGGTGCTGTGGCTCAAGTGGTAGAGCGCTAGCCTTGAGCTGAAGAGCTGAGGGACAGTGCCCAGGCCCAGAGTTCAGACCCCACGACTGGACCCCCCCCCAAAAAAAAAAGATATATTTCACATACTGTAAAATATTTTTTTCAGAGTGTATGATTCAAATTTTAATTTTTTAAAAATTCAGTTTAAACATACATTCTATCACTGGATGGTAGGCTCACATCAGAATTTTAGTTTGTCAATTTAAAAATATATAGCACACTAGTTTTTAATATATGTACAAAGTAGTAAATATATTAGAAACCATCATCAGTATCTGATGATTAGTTATCCTCAAGGCAACTGACTGTATTTGTTTGTTTGTTTTTTTGGGTCTGGTCATGGGGCCTGAACTCTGGGCCTGGGCGCTGTCTCTCAGCTCTTCAGCTCAAGGCTAGCGCTCTACCACTTGAGCCACAGTGCCACTTCCGGCTTTTTTCTTTTTGCTTATGTGGTGCTGAGGAATCGAACCCAGGGCCTCTGGCATGCAAGGCATGTGCTCTACCACTGAGTCACCTTCCCAGCCCCCAACTGACTGTATTTGTACTAGCACTCAGTCCCTATTCCTCTCTGTAGTTCCTGGAAACTACCAATGTACTTTCTGTCTTTAGATTTGACTATGCTAGACAATCTATAAAAATAATACCATCAAAAAAAATACCATCTCCTTTTTTTTTTTTTTTATATTAGTTGAGGGACTTAAACTATGGGCCTGGAAGCTGTCCTTGAACTATTCAGCTCAAGGCTACCACTTGAGCTACAGCGCCACTTCCGGTTTTCTGGTTGTTTATTAGAGATAGGAGTCTCACGGTCTCTCCTGCCCGGGCTGGCTTTGAACCGCGATCCTCAGATCTCAGCCTCCTGAGTAGCTAGGATTACAGGCGTGAGCCACCAGTGCCCGGCTTCAAAGTGCATTTGTGTTATAGTGAGGTTTAGTACTTCATTTTTATTTTTTTATTTTTGATATGGTCCTGAGGTTTGAATTCAGGGCCTAGTGACTGTACCTGAGCTTTTTTGCTCAAGGCTAGAGTTTTCCCACTTGACCCACCTTCCTTACTTGAACCAATTTTTCTTCCTCCCTCCCTCCCTCCCTTCCTTCCTTCCTTTATTTTTGTGCTGGTCCTGGGGCTTGAACTCAGGGCCTGGGTACTGTCCCTTAGCTTATTTGATCAAGGCTAGCACTCTACTACTTGAGCCACAGTTCCACTTCCACTTTTTGGTAGTTAATTGGAAATAAGAGTCTCAGATCTTCTTGCCTCGGCTGGCTTTAAATCCTCAGATCTCAGATCTTCAGATCTCAGCCTTCTGAGTAGGTAGTATTATAGATGTGAGCTACAAGTGCCCTGCACATTTTACTTTATTATGTTTGTTTTCATATAGGCAACTCACTAGGTAGTCCAGGCTGGCCTCTAACTCATGCATCTCCTGACTCAGTCTTCTTTCTACTATTTGCCATTATAAACGGTGTTACTATTGAGCACTCATGTATGTTTTGTAGTGAACACATCATTTTATATCTAACAGTGGTATTTAATTAATTTGTGCTACTAGTGAGGTTTGAACTCAAGGTCTGGGTGCTATCCCTTAGATATTTCACTCAAGGCTACCACTTGAGCCACAGTTCCACTTCTGGTTTTTTTATGGTGGTTAATTGCAAATAAGGGTCTGGAGTAATTGTCTGCCAGTGCTAGCCTTGAACCATGGTTCTCAGATCTCAGCCTCCTGCTAGGATTATAGGTATGAACCAATGATACCTGGCTTCTAAGTTTAATTCTTTTTTTTATTTTTTATTTTTGGGTCTAGTCGTGGGGCCTGAACTCTGGGCCTGGGCACTGTCTCTCAGCTCTTCAGCTCAAGGCTAGTGCTCTACCACTTGAGTCACAGTGCCACTTCCAGGTTTTTTCTTTTTTGCTTATGTGGTGCTGAGGAATCAAACCCAGGGCCTCAAGCATGCAAGGCAAGCGCTCTACCACTGAGCCAACTTCCCAGCCCCATTTAACATTCTCTTCTGGAGTGTTTGAGGGGTTGAATTTTGCCAGGCCCTTGCCAACACTTGTTACTCATCTTTTTACTAGAGCCATACCAGTGGCTGTGACATGGATTTGTCTATAGATTTCATTTGCCTTTTCCTGATGACTTATGATCATGAACACCTATTTATGACTATACTGGATAGCTCTTATATCTTCTTTGGAGAAATGTTTATTCAGATTCTTTTCTCATGTTTAGTTGTCATTTTATAATTAAGTTGTATGAATTGTTTTATATAGTCTAGATAAAAATTCCTTAGGGAACATATGATTTGCAAATTTTTTTCCTATTCTTAGCTTGTCTTTTTTTCTTTGGTGACAGTGTCTACTGAAATGCAAAACTTTTAAATTTTGATAAAATCAGTAGATCTGTTTTGTATTTGGCTGGTTGTGCTTTCAATATTATAATAAACTATTGCCTAAATTAAAATTTATACCTGAGTTTCTTTCTGAGGGATTTAATGTTTTAGCACTTATATTTAGGGTTTGATCCCTTTTGAGTTAATTTTTCATATAGAATGAGATAGAGGTCCAACTTTATTATTATTTTTTTGTGTGTAGCTATACATAGTTAATCTTTTGACATGTTAACATAGTTCAGCTTCTACATGCATGTAGAAAAAGAGAAAAGATAATGAGGCCTTATGAGAATTCATTTCTCTTGTGCACCTAACTTCAAGGAGTATTAAAGGAAGTCAGTCTATCAGGAGAGAGTCTTTGGCAGGGTCTACATAGGGAATAGAAAAGTAGGAAGGAGTAACTGTACATACTCCATGGTTTCTATTTAAATTATAAAGCAATGTGTCTTGTGAATTGTACACCCCTGCAGTGCCTTAGGCTCTGACCTTTCAGATATACAACTCTTCCTTTCTTGAGAAAGGTTTGAAGGGTGTTTGTAGAAGTAGATAGATTATAAACGATAGGGATAAAGGGAGACATTTATGCTTAAAAGTTGTTTCTTTTCATTTGAATTTGTTTTTTAAGTTCTTAAGATTTACTTTGAAAATATTATGTTTATGAGATAGAAGGTTGCTACTGTTTTGGGGATTAGAATTATTCCATTATGATACTAATCATACTTCTAAAAGATAGTATATATAAAATTTTAATACATCTAGTACTTGTAAATTGACATTGAAATCCTTTTTTCAACTAACTAAAGATAATAATAGAAATGCACATCTGTGGCTTGAAATTAAATAAATAGTCCTTTCCTAGTATTCAGTAGATAAGTACCAATTTCAATTTCCTATTGGAGTTGAGCTGAAGAGAATCAGACTCAGGTGGGAAAAAGGAAAAATGGCTTAGAAGAGCCAGAAATAGGGCTGGGAAGTTGGCTCAGTGGTAGAGTGCTTGCCTTGCATGCATGAGGCCCTGAGTTCGATTCCTCAGCACCACATAAGCAGAAAAAAAAAGGCTGGAAGTGGCACTGTGGCTCAAGTGGTAGAGCGCTAGCCTTGAGCTGAAGAGCTGAGGGACAGCGCCCAGACCCAGAGTTCAGGCCCCATGACTGGACTCCCCCCCCCCAAAAAAAAAAAAAAAAAAGAAGAGCCAGAAATACTAGGATTTAGACAGAGTGATATTGAGAAGGATGTTTTTATCAGGTGATAGCATATGCCAGTGGCAAAGCCCACTTTGAGTGGAGATGGATAGTGGGATAAGATCATAAAGATAATCTTTATCATATTAGGAAAAGTCCTTTGTATGACTGAGAAGTTCATAATAAATCTGTTAGCAAGCAACAGGAATTTTTTTTTGAGCAGAAAAATTACCTGATCAAAGCTGAGCCACAGGGAGTTTAATTTGGTAGTGTTAAGCAGCATTTATTTGAATGGGGAAGGACTGACCTTACAGCAACTGTTCTAGTGTAATTCCAGTGAAGCATAACGAAGCCGAATTGGTGCATCTGGCTTCTAAATTATTGCCAAATTAATATTAGTATCACTTTTATTTTAAATACATATTTGTATGAAGTACATTATGTAGCAACTACATAAAAATCATGTCTTTAGAAAATCAACATTGTAGCACTGTGTTTTGTTTTGTTTTTTTTTGGGTCCAATCGTGGGGCCTGAACTCTGGGCCTGGGCGCTGTCCCTCAGCTCTTCAACTCAAGGCTAGCGCTCTACCACTTGAGCCACAGCGCCACTTCTGGCTTTTTTCTTTTTGCTTATGTGGTGCTGAGTAATCGAACCCAGGGTCTCATGCATGCAAGGCAAGTGCTCTACCACTGAGCCACCTTCCTAGCCGCACTGTGTTTTATATATGTAAACCCAGATGGTTTACTGAACACTAGCCTCAAGTCTGTCAACTTCCAGTTCCAGATACTACATATATCCTTTGGCCTCTGCTTCCCAAGTCCTGGGATTATATTTACCACCATGCCTACCTCTAGAAGATACTACCCTTAGTAGTGAGGGATTTCATATGCTTGAAAGTATTCAGCAATGTAGTAAGAAAAAAATAAAAATTAACACCATTGTGAAAAGCCAAAATAGGACGCCACTTTTTACATGCTTACAATCTAGTAGGAAAAAAAAACAACACCCCAAAACTAGAAGAATTAAGAATTTGCAACTAAAGTCAGGGGTTGAGAATTGAAAGGCTGAAAATTTGAGAGGAAGATGTCTGAAGTGTCATGCCTCACATTCAGATAGTCTCATTGGCCAGAATTCAGAAATTCAGAAATCAAAATAAATTTCTCTTGGAACTTTCAGAGGTCACTCACTTTTGTCATGAGCTACTACATATATATATATATATATTCCCCCCCACTAAATTAGTTCTATATAAGCCTTCAATAACCTGAGATGGAAGAAATTGTTAATAGTTATTGCTTAGATGAAAAGAAGTTAGCATTAGGGAAACAGGAGTAAAGTTTTTTTTTTTTTACTGTATTGTCTTTTTAAAATTTTTTTGATTGGTCATGGGGCTTGAACTCTGGGCCTGTGCACTATCCCTGCGCTCTTCAGCTCAAGGTGAGCACTCTACCACTTGAGCCACAGCACTACTTCCTGGAGTAAAGTTTTTAACCTTTCAGTTTTGTGCCATCAGAATATTGTGACTTGTCAAAGTAAATTAGAATTAAAAACTTTTTTTTCCTTTATTTTTTTTCTTTCTTATGTTTGAATGAAATGTGGCCTAAAAGACTATTCAAAAGTTGTAGCATAAATCATTCTTTTTAGTCCTTTGTTCAGATTTTTTTTTTTTTTTTTGTGTGTGTGTGTGTGTCAGTTGTGGGGCTTGAATTCTGGGCCTGGGTGCTGTCCCTCAGCTTGTCAGCTCAAGGCTAGTGCTCTACCACTTGAGCCACAGAGCTACTTCTGGCTTTTTCTGTTTATGTGGTGCTGAGGAATCGAACCCAGGGCCTCATGAATATGAGGCAAGCACTGTACCACTGAGATACTTTCCCAGCCCTTTGCTTAGATATTTTGCCATTCTTTTAAAAATGCATGTTTAGTATCATAAATTGACAAGTTGAATTAAAATCCCTCTGTACAACTACTTATACATTTATAAGTGATAATTAATGGCTTAGAATTAAATAGAAGTATTTTTAGAAGTGTACTTTTAAATCTTTTAATAATTTTAATAATCTTTTTTTTTTTTTTTTGTTTAGGTTGGGTGTTAAAAACAAAGACGTATTTTAGTAGAAATTCCCCTGTATTATTACTTGGTAAATGTTATCATTTTAAATATGAGGGTAAGTGATAAAGTTGTAAAACATTTATAAATCTTTTAAATCTAAAAATCTTAAAAATCATTTAAATCTGAAATTTAAACAGTGATATATCTTTAACGCTGGTATTCTTTTCACTGTACATCTTTGTTCGGTTTTATATGTTTGTGTCAAAGTGTGTGTGTGCATGTAAAATGCATGAGCTTGCGTTTGTAAAGAAAATGAATGTATATGAACATATGTTATTATCAAGACATTCATTTTGGTTGACTTACTCTGAAATACCATTTATCAGTAGTTTTCTAAAACCTTGTAAATGACTTGTAATAATAACAGCCAATATTTATTTAGTAGTAATGATAGCCAGGAGTAGTCTATGTGGTTTACATGTCTCGACTCATTGAGTTCTTCCACAATCTTGAAGGTTGAGTAGGAAGTTGATATGTAAAAAAGTATGCATAGAGTGGCAAGATGGAAGCAATAGCAATATTAGAGGGCATATGTATGCCTACTTTAGTTCTGATTGGGAGATAATTCTGAAAAGGATCAAACTATAGAGAAGGATTTTGAATCTATGTAGAGTTAGCCCATCCTATGTAAACATGTTTTCATAGGCAGAGAACAGCCAAAGCAGAATGCTTAAGAGTTCATATAAGCTTTGAGGTCAGATATCTGGGTTTGAATTTGACTCTTTGTTTTTGCTGTTTAGTTGTTACTTTTGATCTTCCCAAGTATTAATGATAGCCTATTTCATAGGTATATAGTAATATATCTGGTATAAATAAGCATTCTAATGACATTATTATAGAAGGAATTTGTACAACATTATCATTAGAATTTGTTGGTTCTTGACATTACATTGTGTGTGTGTGCGTGTGTATCCCAGTCCTGGGGCTTGAACTCAGGGCCTGGGTACTATCCCCTCAGCTTTTTTTGCTCAAGGCTGACACTCTTATTACTTAAGTCACAACTCTATTCTTGGCTTTTTGCTGGTTAATTGGAGATAATTCTCACAGATTTTTCTACCTGGATTGGCTTTGAACCGTGATTCTTAAACTTAGCCTCCTACGTAGCTAGGATTATAGGCGTGACCCACTGGCACCTGGCTATAATAGTTATTGTTACCTAAGGTTATTTAGTAATTATTTTTTCAGAACATTCTGGCTGGCACACTGATTATGCCTAGAAGGAACACATGAAAATAATAACACAATATATTCTTAAGAAATATGCAGGCTTCTGCCACCACTATTCTAGCTACAGAGCTCCTAACACTCCTGTAATGTCCTTAATAATAGAGCATGTGGGAGTATCTTCTGTTGTAGAGTTTGGCCCTAAATACCTTTGGATGATTAGAATATTTTTTTTTTTGGACTCATGTGTTAATACTTGTGTTTCTGGAAGGTAGCTGGTCACTAGAAAGTCTAAGCCATAATTAGAAGCTTGGAACTTTCAGTCCTAATTTCAATGCTCTGCGGGAGAGGAGAGGAACTGGAAATTGAGCTAACTGGCTAACTGATTTGCCTGCATTTGAAGCCTTCATAAAAATCTCAAAAGTACAAGGTTTGGTGAACTTCTGGGCTGGTGAACACATCCATCTGCAACTCAACTCCGTGTCTCCGTGGGACATAAGCTCCTGTACTCTGTACACTTCTGGACCTTGTTCTGTATACTGTCCTCTGTACCCATTGTCAAATCCCATTTTCTTCTTTTGTTGTTTTTTGTTTTTTGGTACTGGGGATTGAGCTCAGTGCTACATGCTTGCTGGAGAATGCTCTACCATTTGAGGCATTCTCTAGTTCATATTGTGTCTTTTTTCATTTTTCTTTGCCAGAACTAGGTTTTCGACTTGCTTGATTGCTTGGCTTACTTGCTCCATTGGTACTCTACCACTTGAGCCTTGCCTTCAGCCCAGCTTTTTGCTGGTTATTTTGGAGATGGAATCTGATGGACTTTTCTGACCAGGCTGGCTCCAGTATAAAACACATTTGGAGATTCATTCCCATTTGATTTTTGTAAAAACCTGATTAGATAGAATAAAACTTACCTTTCCAGTGATGGTGGTTTACTCCTGCAATTGTGGTTATTCAGGAAGCTGAGAATTGAGGATTGAAGTTCAAAGCCAGACTGAGCAAGAAAGTCCAGTTAACCAGCAAAATGCCAGATTGGAGCTGTGGCTCAGTATAAGAGTGCCAGCCTTGAGCAGAAAAGCTAAAGGACAGCACCAGACCCTGATTTCAAGCTCCAAACAAACAAGAACAAAGCAAAAAATGGATTAGGAAGATGGTGATGTAATCCATAATGTAAGACAATAATGGGAGTGTATTAGTATTATTGATATTTTTTGTACTTAGACTACATAATTTATATTTTTATTTTGTAGATGAAAATAAAACATTACTTGCAAGATCAGGATGTGCAATAGAAGATCATGTAATTGCGGGAAATGTAGAAGAATTTCGTAAAGATTTCATTTCTAGAATATGGCTGACCTACAGGGAAGAATTTCCTCAAATAGAGGGCTCAGCCTTGACAACAGATTGTGGTTGGGGCTGTACACTAAGAACTGGCCAAATGCTCTTAGCTCAAGGACTCATACTACACTTTCTTGGGAGAGGTAAATTAAATGTTTTTTGTATTATCATTAGTTTTTAATTTGAACTCGTTTGCATATTGCATAAAACTCCTTGAAGTTAATTTCTTTGTTCTTTGATTTAGCAGTAACTAACTTAGCATATTACATTTTTATTGAATTGGGCCATAAATGTCTTTTATGTAAACATTTATGATTTTCCTTTCAAAACCATAGGTTAACTATAGCTGTTATTTTATTTTTAAATCTTTAAAAGTTATTATCTTCAAGTAGTTGTACAGAGGAGTTGGCATTTAACAAAGCTGTTTATGAATATATCTTGATCAGTGTCACCTCTTGCAACCTAGCTGTTATTCTTGTTACTACCATGGATTAGGGTAGTTTGGATTTTTAAGTTTTGTTATTTTTTCCATTTTGGTTGAACTTGTTGAAGTATCTCTGGTTTATTAACTCCTAGACAAGTCAATATCTGTGGCTTTGGAGAGAATATTAGTATTCTTTAAAAATCTTAATAGTTTTATTTTGTTTCTTTTGTTTGCAATGTTTGTCTTAGAAAATAAGATTATAATCAATTATGTGAAGTTTATTTGGCATATTTATTTGGTCATCATGCTTATTAGTCTTTTAAACCATCAAAAACACCATTGGTAATTAACTTGCCTAAGTCTTTTTTTTTCTAATGTAACATTTTTCTCTTAGTCTTTTCTTTTCTTTTCCTGTTTAGACAAGATCTGGTGTCAAGGCTCGCCTGGAGCTAGCTAGGTAGCCCAGGCTACAAAGTTGTGACCCTCTTGTCTCAGACTCCTGAATGCTAAGAGTACAGGAAAATATCACAGTATCTGTTTCCATTAATCAATGTGTGTGTGTGTGTGTGTGTGTGTGTGTGTGTGTGTGTGTGTGTGTGTGTGTGTGTCTTAGGGCTTGAACTCAGGGCTTGGGCGCTGATCTTTATGCTCAAGTCTAGTGTTCTACTGCTTGAGCCACAATTCTTGCAGACTTTCCTGCCTGAGCTGGCTTTGAACCATGATCTTCAGATCTCAGCCTTTTGAGTAGTTAGAATTATAAGCATGAGCCAGGCATGAGTCACCAACATCCAGCAAGTCAATGTTTTGAGATATGTTTATTTGTAGGAGGATTTTATTTTACTATTTTAGGCTATTGTCTCTGGTTATTACTAAATATTATAAAATTTTAGATAATTACTAAATAATATTAGATATTACCAGATTTTAGAACATCTTGAGAATTGCCCCAGAGAAACCTTACACCCATTGGCAGCTATTTTCACTGTCTATTAGCAGCTGTGTCTATGTACTTTCTGTATCTAGACTTTCAGTTTTGATTTAGTAACCCATCTGACTTTATTTTTTGGGGGGCCTGGCCACTGTCCCTGAACTTTTTACTCAAGGCTCTACCACTTAAGCCACAGGTCCACTTCCAGATTTTTGGTAATTTATTGGACTTCCCTGCCCAGGTTGGCTTTGAGCCACAATCCTCAACTCTCAGTTCCTGGGTGGCTAGGATTATAGGCATGAAACAACAATGCTACCTATTTGTTTTAGTTTCACTGTTCAAGTCTGTCTATTTAACCTGTCTGAATACCTTGCTTTGGGATTGCTATAGCTTGGACTTGGCCTGATGCCCTGAATATTGAAAATTCAGACTCTGAATCATGGACTTCCCACACTGTGAAAAAATTTACTACATCTTTTGAAGCATCGCTTTCAGGAGAAAGAGAACTCAAAACTCCAACGATTTCTCTGAAGGAAAAAGTTAAGAAATATTCTGATGATCATGAAATTCGAAATGAAATTTACCATAGGAAAATCATTTCCTGGTTTGGTGATTCCCCGTTGGCTCTTTTTGGCTTACATCAACTAGTGGAATATGGAAAGAAATCGGGGAAAAAAGCTGGAGATTGGTATGGACCAGCTGTTGTTGCTCACATTTTAAGGTAAAATTGTTTTAAAATCTTTCATCTTGTGACTGAGTTCTTTAAGCTTAGAGAAATACTATTTAAAAAATTGTTATCAAGGTGATGTACAGAGGGATGCACTTATATGAATCAAGTAGAGTACATTTCTTTTTGGACAGTATCACCCCTTGAAATACAAATTTTTACAAATTTTGTGCAAACTTCTCTCTCTCTTTCCCTCTCTCATTCTCTCTCACTCTTTCCCTCTTTTCCTCCTCCTCCCCCGCCCCAAGTCCTGAGACTTGAATTTAGGGCCTAGGCACTGCCCCTGAGCTTCTTTTGCTCAAGGCTAGCACTCTACCACTTGAGCCACAGCACCTCTTCCAGCTTTTTCTGTTTATGTGGTACTGAGGAATTGAATGCATGCTAGGCAAGCACTCTACCACTAAGCCACCTTCCCAGACTATTGTCTTTTGTGTGTGGGTGTGTGGGTGTGGTTAATTGGAGATAAGAGTCCTGCCCTGACTGGCTTTGAATCACTTTCCTCAGATCTCAACCTACTGAGTAGCTAGGATTACAGTATTATCAGCAGGCACCTGGCTTCTGTGCAACTTTTTTTTTTTTTTTTTTGGGGGGGAGGTCAAGTCGTGGGGCCTGAACTCTGGGCCTCGGCGCTTTCCCTCAGCTCTTCAGCTCAAGGCTAACGCTCTACCACTTGAGCCACAGTGCCACTTCCAGCTTTTTTCTTTATGTGGTGCTGAGGAATCAAACCCAGGGCCTCATGCATGCAAGGCAAGTGCTCTACCACTGAGCCACCTTCCCAGCCCTCTGTGCAACTTTTAAAGATTTGCTACTAGGAAAGAATAAGACATTGTGATTGGAGTTTCGCTTACTCACTGGCAGTTTTCCTTTCCTTATAGGTACAGATAGCCAAGGTTGATTTTTAGCTACATGTTCATTTGACTATCATATTGAAATGTTCTAAACACTCTTTTGAGCTTGGAGCATGTACAATGTTGTAACTTTATTTTTTTTTGACAATGTAACTTGTAATGTACTGATAGCGTAAAGAAATGTCAAGAGTTAAAAACTGATGTTTTCAACATTTCTTTGTATACGTCAAATTCTTGTGAGTTGTAAATATATGGAACTATTAATATTATAATTATATCAGTAAAAATAAAGGATTTTTGACATTCAGAATTATGAGAAAAAACTTGAAAGTCAAATTTCATTGTATTTAAACTTTAAGTGCCATTGGTTAAGTTTTTAAATTATTTGTTATGTGACCTAATACTATCATAAATCATTAGTATGTGATCTAAATATGGTATATTATCAGTTTATTCCATTATAATCATATAAATTTGAAATTACTATAAAGCCTTTTTGCTTATTGATATGGTTGTTTAATAGATCAGATATTTACATCTATAAAGTATTACCTAATGTTAAAAATAATATAAATTTCAATTTAGTATGGCATTTATAAAAGCATAGTTTGTATTTTTCAAGATGTTTCAGGGCTCAGTAATTTTTTTTGTAAAGTGTTACAGAGTAAATATTTTAGGCTTTAGAATTCTCACAAGTTTTCTGTTGCTAGTTTTTTTCCTCTTAATCCTTTAATTCTTTTTTGTGTGAATATTTTTATTATCTTTAAGTAGTTGTACAAAGGAGTTGTCATTCAACAAAGCAATTTGTGAATACAGTGCATCTTGATCAATGTCATCCTTTTGACATTTCTACCTCCCCTTCCCAGCCCATCCCTTCTATCACTTTTCTTAAATTTTAGGATTTATACTGATTTTTTTTTGCCATTTAACAAAGCAGTTTATGTATACAGTGCATCTTAATCTGTGTCATCCCTTCAGCGTTTTCACCCCCCCCCCCTTTTGACCAATCCTTTATTTTTCTTAGTTTGTGGTATAGACAATGAATTCTTGTCTGCATTCTCCCTCTTTCCCCTTCATTTAATTACCCATCTTCCCATGCCCCCCTTCTTGCAAGTACCTATTTCCTTGTACTTATTTTGTGGGACTTTGACCTAGTCTTTCTAAAAAATTATACTATTTGAGCTCTCCATAGAAACAAAGGTTGCATGGTTTCCCTCATTTGTGATAGCTAGACTGTACCTGTAAACCTATAAGAAAACACACTGGGTAACTAGGCACCGATGGCTCACACCTATAATCCTAGCTACTTAGGAGGCTGAGATCTGAGGATCATGGTTTAAAGCCAGCCCAGGCAGGAAAGTTCGTGAGACTCTTATCTCCAATAAACCATTAGAAAACCAGAAGTGGTGCTAAGGCTCGAGGGCAGGAATAGCGCACCAACAAAAAAAAAAAAAAAAAAAGAAAGAAAAAAAGAAAACACACTGGGTGATATGTAGGCCATTACAGATGAAGTAATTCTTTAATTCTTTAAAACTATTCCGAGCCATTCTTAGCTTTCAGATATACAAAAACAGGCCACAGATTGTATTTGGCCTATGGGCTACAGTTGCCCATCCTCTCCTATCTGAATACATAGAAACATACATAATAGAGGGTTTTGTTTTTGTTTTTGTTTTTACTTTTGTCAGTTGTGGTGCTTGAACTCAGGGGTGGGTGCTGCCCCTGAGCTCTTTTGCTCAAGGCTAGTGCTCTACCACTTTGAGCCACAGCTCCACTTGTGGTTTTTGAGTGGTTAATTGGAGATGAGTGTCTCATGAGGACAGTTCTGCCTTGGCTGACTTTGAACAGTGATCCTCAGATTTCAGCCTCCTGAGTAGCTAGGATTACTGGTGTGAGCCACCAGTGCTGGCTTCAGAGTTTTTTTGAATGAAGTAAAAATCATTATGCTGTTGTTGGAAGAAAAGAAAACATTTTAATTTTTTCTAAGGGATAAGTACAACAATTCATTCCTAGCCAGTGATGTAGGTTAATGAGAAGCAAATCTTAAAGCATATTGAAATACCACTGTTGAAGAGCATTCACCATAGTCAGGAAAGTGGTTGTGGGAAATTCTTTTGGGAGGGTAGATGGTACAGCTTCACACCTAAAACTTTTTTTTTTGCCAGTCCTGGGGCTTGAACCCAGAGCCTGGGCACTGTTCCTGAGCTTCTACCACTTGAGCCACAGCACCACTTCCAGATTTTTCTGTTTATGTGGTAGTGAAGAATTGAATCCAGGGCTTCATGCCCAGCCCCGAAACTTTTGAAAGCACATTTTATAACTTACATTGTGTTCTTCCAGACAGTTACTGTAATATTCACCTTTGAAAATTTAACTTGATTTTAAGGGCTATACATGGTAGTGTACCTTTGTAATCTTAGCCACTTGGGAAGCTGAGACAGAAGTAATGTGCTACTAGGGTAGCACAGGAAAAGTTAGCATGGGACATTATTTGAAAAACAAACTAAAAGCAAAAGGACTGGGGCAAAGCTCAAGTGGTACAGTGCTTGCCTAGAAAGTGGGAGACCCTGAGTTTAATTCTCAGTACTGCAAAAAGCAAAGCAAAACAAAAGAACAAACATGATTTCTGATATCATTTGGATAGATTTTTGACAGCAGGTACATAAGTTAAATAGGACAGCCAGATAAATGATACCCTTTCCCCCTCTTAAAACTAAATCTTTAGTTACTAACATATAATGTTTTTTTTTTCTTAGAAAAGCAGTTGAAGAAGCAAAACACCCTGATTTACAAGGAATAACTATTTATGTTGCACAAGACTGTACAGGTAAAGGATGTATCTAATTCAAATTTTTATCTGTATAATTTATTTGATCAGACATAATTTTATTATAAATAAATAATTATAAATTATTATAAAGTGAGAGACCATGGTGTATACATTTTGTCAGTCATGGGGCTTGAACTCAGGATCAGGTCAGCTTTTTTGCTCAAGGCTAGTATTCTACCACTTTGAACCACAGTGTCACTTTCAGTTTTCTAGTGGTTAATTGGAGATGAGAGTCTCAAGGACTTTCTTACCTAGACTGGCTTTGAATGTGATCCTCAGATCTCAGCCTCCTCAGTAGCTAGAATAGCAGGTGTGAGTCACCAACTTTTTTGTTCCTGCATAGCGTTATTCCTATACATGATAGGCACTAAATAGGTTTATTTGTTTGTTTAGATAGGATCATGCTGCATAGTCCAGGCTAGCCTCAAATGCTGCACCTTAAGTGGGAAAATTACAGGCATGTGCCACCATGCCTAATTTTTTGAAAAAAAGTTTTAGTTTATTTTTATTAGATAGTTTTACAAAAGGGTTTCAATTCCAGAAGTCAGGCTATGAATATATCTTGATCAATGTCACTCTTTGCGTCATTTTCCCCATATTTCCCCATTCCAACCCTACTCTCAAATTATATAGTTCAGTTTTTACATAGTGTGTGTTGAATTAATAACTGCATTTTTTTGTGCTTCCTTCCTCTCATTTGTCTAACTTCTTGTTGCTCTCCCTCTCACCAGAACATGTTTCAGCTTCCTGGTATTCATTTTGTTAAGTGGTGTTTGTTAGTTGTTCAAAGAATTTATACCTTTGGATTCCTCCCCTATGTATAATTTTTGTTAATTTGTGTCTGTATGCATATAACCCTGTATGTTATTGTTTGTTTGTGTTTTAGATCTAGCCTCAACATATGAGAGAAATAATGCCGGTTGTCTCTCTGAGCATGACTTATTTCACTTAGAATAATTTTTTCTTGGTCTATCCATTTTTCTGCAAATGACATAATATTTTTCTTTCTAATGGATGAATAAAATTCCATCATATATATACACCACATTTTCTTGATCACTAATCTGTTGTAGGGCATATAGGTTATTTCCATCTCTTGGCTGTCATGAATAGTGCAGCAAGGAATATGGATGTACAAGTGTCTTTACCACATCCTGACCTGTAATGTTCTGAATTACCATGTCCAAGAGTCACCATGTCTTGTTTCAATGTTTTTATTGAATATATCCAATGAATTATTAATTAGAATATTAAAAGCTACTTCTTCAAGGAAATTCCAGCATTTAAAGTCTTTCCCCCACTCCTTTTTTTATCCTCTTCAGAAGTAATAATAATAATAAAAGGAAGACTGAGTCTCACTGTGTAGACCAAGCTGGCCTAGGATTTGTAATCCTTCTGCTTTAACCTCCCAAGTGCTGGGATTATAGGTGTTAGTGAGCTTTTATCTCTTTTTAATCCCTTCTATTTCTTTTAAAGTAGCTATTTGATACTAAGAATGGTGGTGCATGACTGTAATTTCAACATTCATTTGGCTGAGGCAGGGGGATTGTGAGTTCAAGGCTAATTGATCTGAAAAGGAGAATGGGGTAGATGGAGGGAGGAGGAAGGATGAAGAAGGAAGAAATAGACAGGAAAATTTAGCATGGATGTATTCTTGGACATCATGGGTGTCACCATGGTGGCATGGTACTATCTCATTGGTAGATGTTGAGTTTTAGAATTGTATATGTTTCTCACCAGTGCTTCAGCAAACAATTTAATAACCACATACCTTGTCCAGAGTTTTGTGTTATTATTATTTTTGGTAGAAATAGAGAACTTAATTTCCTAAGAAAGCAAAGTAAGTCACCGTATGCTCTTAAGTTTATTTTTTACAGAAAACTTCTTAAGAGGAAAAAGAAATTAATGTTTTGCAAAAGTTCATTGTATTTCAATTACATTTAATAAGAATGTATCTACCATTGTAACCAACTAGTAGTTGTAGTGTAGAAAGAATGATTATGAAATTCATTTTTGCTTGGCACGTTATTAATTTCCTGTTAAAGAAAGACTGACAATCATAATTATAGCCATATGAAAATTAAAGTTGTAAATTTTCAGATGAGTATGTAAGTATGTTTGTTTTTTAGCTAATAGGCCTTACAAGTAAAATTTGCTGTGTTAAGACTTTTAATTAAGGCTGTGGATGTGCTGAAATGACTAATTATTAAATAATTTTTTTGTGCTTTATTGATATCAGTCAGTTTTGGTCTTAATTATTACATATAATTGCTTAATTAAACAAGGAGTGCAAAATGGTTTATTTAATTTGAAGTTATTCTTAAAATTGTTAGCATTCATATTTAAGAGTGCTAAGTAGAGAATTTATATTATTGCAGTTTTATTAGACTCTGGGATTTGGAATTACTTGAAGCTAGATTCTATTAGTAATTTATGCCCTCATTAATGTTTTTAAAGGTTTAATTTTCTATGTATTTTTTTCTTTCTGTTGTGTATTCTCTTCTTTTGTAATTACATATGAATTTCATTACTTAACACCATGCACTATACACTAGGACTTGGATTGCATCTCTGATCTTGCTTGCATTGGTATGAGATAACTCATGTTTTTCTGTTACTCTTCACTTAGTTTTACATACAAACCCTTTAAATTCAGTGTGTTTAAAACTAAGTTGTCAACTTCCTCTTACACTAGTCCCTTTAATTTCTGTTTTCTCTTGACTAGTAGTATCATGTCCACATGTATACTCAGGGTAGAACCTATCATTCTTGACTGTTTTTATCATCATTAATGTCTTATCAATTATACTTTTAAAGTATTTCTGAAGTCTATTCTCTTTGTTTTCATTAATTTAGGTCCTGTCTTTTCTGTACTGTAGACCTTAACTTTATTTTCCTGTCTCCCTTTTTGCATCTATCTAATCAAAAGACAGAAATCATATATGCTAAAAACTTGTGATTTTTCTATTAACTTTAAGCCTTTATTATTATTTTGGCATACAAGGTAAAGAAGTCCTGTGCAATTTGTCCCAAACTACAGTTCTAGCTTCATCTTTTAACACTGTCTTCCATACCCACTGGTCTGAAGTACTATAAATCTTCTTGCTATTTCTTATGCCTTGTCTTTTTTCCCATATTCCCATTTTTCTCATATTTCCCCATATCTTTTTATATATTGTCTATATTTGGAATACCTCTTATCAGAATGCCTCTTGTTAACTCACTTTTTCTTTAAGACCACAGTCAAAAATTATGTCTTTCCCAACTCACATCAGGCAGAATCAGTCTGTTTTTCCCCTCTGCTTTCCATGACATGTGTGTGTGTGTGTGTGTGTGTGTGTGTGTGTGCTGGTTTTGGGGTTTGAACTCAGGGCCTAGGTACTGTCCTGGCATTTTCTGAGTAGTTTATTGGAGATAAGAGTTTCATGGACTTTCCTGCCTGGGTTGGCTTGGAATTGTGATACTCAGATTTCAGCCTTCTGAGTAGCTAACATTACAGGCATGAACTACCCGTACCCAACTTTTCCATAACATTTTAACATGCTACTATTAAATGTTACACTTAATAATTTACTTGGTGATGTTACCCTATAGTGATGTGTTTCTCTGTTTAGATCAGCGATTGATTTACTAAGGTAGCAGAAGTAGAGGAAAGATATCTGAATCATTTGGTTGAAAATCATTGCTGAGGGCAGGGAAGGTGCCTCAGTGGTAGAGTGCTTGCCTTGCATGCGTGAGGCCCTGGGTTCGATTCGCACCACATAAACAGAAAAATCTGGAAGTGGCACCGTGGCTCAAGTGGTTGAGCACTTTCCTTGAGCTGAAAAGCTGAGGTATAGTGCCCAGGTCCAGAGTTCAGGTCCCATGACAGACCAAAAAAAAAAAAGAAAAAAAAAAAGAAAATCATTGCTGGGAATAATGGAGGTAGAGGGAAAATACAATAATTGAGCTTAATCACATAAAACAAGTACCTAAATGAATAGCAGCCTATCAACACATGTGTATTGAATGAAAGTGAAGAGTAAGAGACATTTGATCAGGCTGAACTGTTGTGGCTTTTTTGTAGCTTTGGATTAGATAAATGCTGAGAGACAGAGAAGCTAGTAAACAGAAGAATTTGATACCTTACTCTAAATTTGGAAGGAACTGGAAGAAAAGTAGCAGATTTTTGTCAGTCAGCTCTTTGAGGAAGAACAGAGTTTGGTTATACTGAGAAAGAGTGTGAGTTTCAGATAACATTATTCTGAAAAAAAATTTAGTCTATATTTGTTTCTACCAAACCTCTTTATTTTCTCTTAAATTATTCCACTTAGGCATATCTCCACAACTGTACTAAATTGCTCATACCAATAATTTCATCTTGCCAAGCCTGGCGGTCACTTTTTAATTTTCACATCACATTGTCTGTTATAAGCATTTGTCACAATTGATGACTTCTTCCTTCCCCTTATAACTTTTTTGCCGAGAGCCTGAACTCTGGGCCTGGGCACTGTCCCTCAGCTCTTCAGCTCAAGGCTAGTGCTCTACCACTTGAGCCACAGCACCACTTCCGGCTTTTTTTTTCTGCTTATGTGGTGTTGAAGAATTGGAACCCAGGGCCTCATGCATGCAAGGCAAGTGCTCTACCACTGAGCCACCTTCCCAGCCCCCATTTATAACTTTTGTTTATTTGATATCCAGAACACTGCTCTTCAGACTTTCCTTTTACTCCCTTGTCTATTCCTTTATGTCCTTCTTTATTGTTTTTTTAAACCCATTTCCTGATCTAGAAACATGCTTTAGTGTTCAGCTTTTGTGTTCAGGATTTCCTGTCTTTTTTCTGCCTACATTGATTTGAATTCAAACAGTACCGTGATTTTACAGTACCATCTGTATGATGGCAGCTTCCAAGTTTATAGGTCCATCCTTGTTCCTTTCTCAAACTCCAGTTTTTTTATCTGCCTACTCAACCCCTCTATTTTCGTGCCTAACAGGTTCTAAAACTGATGGTCTCTAAAAGGGGATTCTCAGTCCCCTCCCCCATTCATCTAAATCTTTGTTAATGACACTCTTACAATCTGTTTATATCAAAATATTGTAAATACAGCCCCCATTTAGCAAGCTGAAGGCTCTGAATTGAAATCCTAGTAACTGCCACACACACCGCAAAAAAAAATCTTGCAAGTCATCTGATACTAATTTTTTTCCTCTAACATGTTAGTACTTAATAGCAAGTACTATTTTTTTTTTTCTGTTTCTTGCCCTTGAACTCTGGGCCTAGGAGCTGTCCCTAAGCTCCTTCTGCTCAAGGCTGGCACTCTGTAGCACCACTTTCAGCTTTTTCTGTGATGGGCAGCTTTGAACCATGATCCTCAGATCTCAGACTTCTGAGTAGCTAGGATTGCAGGTATCGCAAGACCTAATTTTATCTTCAGTATATATAAAATGACTTTCTCCACATAGCCATTCATTGACCCTTCCCTATTTTCAGTTTCTGGTTTTGTTCAAACTGTCATCATCCCTTTCGGGATAACTAGAGAGACTTGCCATTCCTGGGGCTTGAACTCAGGGCCTGGGTACTGTCCCTAAGCCTCTTTGTGCTCAAGGCCAGCACTCTCCTACCACTTGAGCCACAGTGCCACTTCTGGTTTTGAGTGGTTAATTGGAGATGGTGGCTCATGCTTGTAATCCTAGCTATTCAGGGGGCTGAGATCTGAGGATCACGGTTCAAAGCCAAACAACCAGGAAACTGGAAGTGGTGTTGTGGCTCAAGTGGTAGAGTGCTAGCCTTGAACTGAAGAGCTTAGCGACAGAGCCCAGGCACAGAGTTAAAGGCCCATGACCAACTCCCACCTCCCGCCCAAATAAACCAAACCAAAACAAAAAAAGTGTCTCACAGGGACTTTTCTGCCAGGGATTGGCTTCAAGCTGCAGTCCTTAGATTTCAGCCTCCTCAGTAGCTAGGATTATAGGTATGAGCCACTGGCCCCCACCTACATTTTACTTTTCATTGTCTGTTTTCCCTTACTAGAGCATATGCTCAATTAGAATAGGTTTTTTTTTTTCTTCTGTTTTTCTTACTGTTAAACCTCCACTGAACCTCCACTGATGTGAATATATAAATGAGGCAGGTATTTTTATGTATAGTGTGATGTGAATAAGTAAATGAGGCAGGTTTTTTTAGTTTGCTATTGATGCCAGAGATAAGATGACTGGCTGCCAGTGTTAGGGAGTGGAATTGGGATAAAAACAAAGGTGAAAATCACTTTTTATAATACCTGATCCATATTCATTATTGTTTTCTCAGTTTACAGTTGTGATGTAATTGATAAACAAAGTGCTTCAATGACTTCTGGTAATGCTGATGACAAAGCTGTTATTATTTTAGTTCCTGTAAGACTTGGTGGAGAAAGAACCAACACAGACTACCTGGAGTTCATGAAGGTATAAGAAAGTGCTTTCTTTCTTTTTTTATTTTAAAGACAGTATTGGCTAATATGAAAAGAAGATTTGTAATGTTTTTATGACTTTAGGTGTTCATTGGGAAGTTTGACATTAGAGATTTTAATCACTACTGGAAGATTAAGTTGGTGTGTATGTGTCTATGTGTAGTGTTCTCTGAAACAATGAAAAGCCTCTGAATCTTTGTAGCTAATCAGTGAGACACAGATACAACAATATTCAAAATATATAATATGGCTATAATTCTGTTACCCTTTTCTGATTTTCAAAAATATTTATTTTAAATTCCTTTTTTTTTTCTTTTTCAGTATAGAGGTTTGAACTTAAAACCTATGTTTGCTCAGCAGACACAGTATCACTTGAGCCATGTCCCTGACCCTTTTGCTTTAGTTGTTTTTCAAATAGAGTTTTGCTTTTATGCCCAGGCTAGCTTGGACCATGATCTTTCTATTTATCCTTCCTGTTTAGCTGGGATCAGACTTGTGTGTTACCACATCTAGCTTTTTATTGGTTGAGATGGGGTCTTTTTGTCCAGGCTGGTCTTAAATTGTGATCTTCTCAATTTCTGACTCTTTCAAGTAGTTAGGATAATAGGTGTGAGTCACTATACCTGGCTTAGGTATTATTTCCTTTTTTCTTTCCTTCTTCCCTCCTCCTTTCCCTCCCTCCCTCCTTCCCTCTTGCCCTTCTCTTTCATCCTGTCCTGTCCGCCCTCCTTCCCTCCCTCACTTCCTCTGTGTGTGTGTGTGTGTGTGTGTGTGTGTGTGTGTGTGTGTGTGTGTTGTGGGTATTCTGGTCTTGAGGCTTGAACTCAGGGCCTGGAATCTGTGCCCTATCTTTTTCTTCCACATGTAGCTTTTTGGTGGCTAATTGGAAATAAGAGTCTTATGGACTTTCCTGCCCAGACGGCCTTTGAACTACTATCCTCATATCCCAACCTCCTGTGTAGCTAGGATTTCAGGTCTGGGCCACTAGGATTTTATTTTATTTTTAATAAAATAGAAAAAAAATAGGTTAAGTGATACTCTCAGGCTCAGATAACAAACTGATAGCAGAATCATTTATTGTTTCTCAAGTTTTTGAAGATGTTTCCTCAGTGTTTACTAATTTGGTTCACACAGTGATCTACTAAAATGAGAGAACAGTGACTTTTAAGACATTTTAGAATTTCAATTATCAGGTAAAAATATCTGAAATAGTTGAGTAAAATAATTTACATGGTAAGTGCTATGCTTGGCCAGAGGAGCTGGTCAAGAGCCAAAGCAAAGAGAAATTCACGTATTGATGGACATGAGCATAATTGAAATACATTATATGTATGTATATGTATATATGAAAATAACTCAATGAAACCCAGTAAAAGCTGTAAAATAAAGAGGAAATAGGAGATAAAGATTAACAAGGGATGAATTTGATCCAAATATATGTATGTAGGGAAACAGCAATGAAACCTCTTGTAAAATTAATGTATGCTAATACAATTACAAATAATAGGAAAGGAAGAGAAAAGAAGAAATATTCACTTTGAGTAAAAAGGTCTAAAAACAAAATAGTCTTTAAAAAAAGTAAGCATCTCTTCTTCCTTTTCTGCACTATCTCTTCTTCCTCTCTTTCTTTCTGCTCCTTTTTTTTTTTTTTTTTTGGTATGGTCAGCAGTTGTATATTTTCCTGCCAAACCAATGTGCATTTATAGTCTAAAATTCACTGTTCAGTTTGATCTTTCATACTCATTACTCAAGGTAATTCCACAGTATTTCAGCGATGGTACCACCCTGACATCTTTCCACATTCTATGAGGAGAAAGAAATTTGGTGTGTGTTTTATCACCCCTTACAATGAGAGGTTTATATATTTATTCTTATTTTTGTAAAGACCTGGAATGAAGAATATCCAATATATTCTTCTTCTTCAGCAAGACAAATTAAGACTTCCCTTTTTGACTGATTACTCTAGTCTTATTTATTGCTTTATGGATACAGCTCAATAAATTCTCACCCTTAGATAACTGTGAAGAAGCTCTCTTAGGAACAGAAAAGTGTTTCTTGTTTCCAGAGACATGGCTTTTATATGTAATGGCATTTTGGCTCCTAATCTTTTAAGTGGTCATTGCTAAATCTGCTCTAGTCTGGTGAAAACAAAATATAGATGTCAGGAACAGATGCTTTCTTCCATTACTTGGAACTGGTTCTTTTTAAGAGAAGACTCAGTGATGATTCTTGCTATAATTTTTTTCTTTCTTTTTTCAGCTTTTGATAGGCTTAGAGCTTTCACTTCTTCACAGGTCCCTGGACACAAACATCTGATCAGATTGCCTCCATTGTAAGGATTTTTATTTAAGAGGAAAGCAGTAGAATCTTTAATGCCAAATATCCTATTACTGTTAAATACCTGTGTTTTTTGTGAAATTTTATCTTTAATAATTTTTAGCTAGTTCAAATTAGTTATGATTTTAATCTAATATGGCTATTTTGTTTCACTCTTTTTCAGTTGCAGCTCTCCTTTTAAAAAAAATTCTGATATTTTTACAAGGCTAAATATGTACAACGTAATTCTTTTTTTTTTTTTTGGGTCTGGCCATGGGGCCTGAACTCTGGGACTGGATGCTATCCCTCAGCTCTTTAGCTCAAGGCTAGCGCTCTACCACTTGAGCCACAGCACCACTTCCAGCTTTTTTTCTTTTTGCTTATGTGGTGCTGAGGAATTGAACCCAGGGCCTCAGGCATGCAATGCAAGCGCTCTACCACTGAGCCACCTTCCCAGCCCCCAACATCATTCTTTAAAGGGTAATTTGGTCTGTTTTGTACTGCTGTAACAGAATACCTAAGGGTTTAGTAGAGCACATGCCTAGCAAACGCATGGTCCTGAGTCCAAATCATAATACTACCTAAACAAATAAATAGACAGCAGAATACCTGAGACTGGGTGGTTTATACAGAGTAGGAATTTATTCTCTTGTAGATATTGAAAGGCTGGAGAGTTTGGAATCAAGGCACTAGCCTTTAATAGGGCCTTTCTTGCTGTGTTTTCATTTAGCAGAAGAGCAGGACAGAATGAACACTCCTAGTCCTTACAGTCACATCAATCCATTCATGAGGATATTAACCATTATGATTAAAATACCTTTAAACATTTTTGTCTTTCAGCACTTGCATTGGGGATTGAGGTCTAGGATATGAATTTTGGAGGGGACAAACTATTCAAATAACTCAATTAAATATGTATAATGAAGGACTTAAGGGATGAATATTCTATTTACAAAATAGAATATTTTATGGCTATTAAAGCTATTTAAATTAAATTATAATGTGGTAATATTCCAATAAGCCATTGTAATTTGAAAATATTCTAAGTTGAGAATGTGATTAATGCTTCTAACCTACCAAAAGTCAAAAATATGGTTTCAAATGAATATATAATAGCTTTTGTACCATTGTAATGGAAAAATTTTGAGTTGAACCTTTTTATGTCAGGAACTATGTGTGTTCTTCATTTTGTAGTCCATAGATTGTAGTACATCCTCTCATTTAAGAGAAGGGAACTTTATAACCATTTAATGCTTTTGGAGTTTTTATCATTAGTAGTATTTTATAATGTGAAAATTAATGCAAGAACTATTGATAAGACATTAATTGATTCTTCTGAATTTTTTAATTGACTACTAAGCATATTTTCTAAAAGTTAGATTATTTGGCTCAACTTTGTTTAGAATATTTAGTAGTCTAAAGCATATGCTGATTGATTGATTGATTGATTTCGCTGGTCGTGGGGCTTGAACTGTGGGACTGGGCGCTGTCCCTCAGCTCTTCAGTTCAAGGCTAGCACTCTACCACTTGAACCACAGAGCCATTTCCCGCTTTTTCTGTTTATGTGGTGCTGGAGAATTGCCTCATGCATGTGAGGCAAGCACTCTACCACTGAGCTACCTTTCCAGCCTGTATGCTGATTTATTGAAATATTCTTGATTTTTTAATTAGCCAGCCTGGGCAAAAAAGTCCATGAGACTCATTTTTTTAAATTTAATTTTATTGTTAAGGTGATGTACAGAGGGGTTACAGTTACATATGTAAGGTAACGAGTACATTTCTTTTTTTTTTTTATTGTTACACCCTCCTTTATTTTTCTCCTACCATCCCTTTCCTCCCCACCTCCCCAACTCCTCCCTTCCCTCTCCCTCAAAGTTGTAAAGTTCATTTACAATATACTTGTCTTGTACATCTCATTGTTACAAGGGCTCATCCTGAATCTTTATTTCAGTATTTTTTTTATTTCCCTTCCCCTCCCCAAATTAGAAAAATGTATATACAAGATGTAGGACACCGGAATCAAATACAGTGATAACGGGTTGTACCATGGGGGAGGAATATACAAAGAAACAAAAAAAAATCACATAGTACATTATAAGTACATTAAAAAGAACAGCAACAAAGATAAAACCACTTGTGTCCCTATCTTGGGGTTCATTTTGCTTAGCATCAGGTTATATGGTCATATGTACATATAACCTCTTTTGCTTGTCTGCGCCCCCCCACCCCCAATCTGAGATTTGAGGATCATTGTTCAAAGACAGCCTGGGCAGGAAAGTCTGTGAGACTCTTATCTTCAGTTAGCCACCAAAAAATAGAACTGTGGCTCAAGTGATAGAGGACTTACCTTGAGCAAAAAAGCTCAAGGACAGTGCCCAGTGCCTGACTTAGAGCTCCAGCACACATCACATACATACCAATACAGAAAGAATCTGATTAAGATATAGATTGGTGACAGGCTGCACTAACTAACCAAAATGCCACTGTTTTGGCTTTGGCATGAATCTTAGTACTTTAATGTGTGCTGTTTATTTTCTCCTTGACACAAAATAGGTGTGTGTGTGTGTGTGTGTGTGTGTGTGTGTGTGTGTGTGTGTGTGTGTGTGTGTGTGTGTGTGCTGTTCCTGGGGCTTGAAGTTAATGTGTGCTGTTTATTTTCTCCTTGACACAAAATAGGTGTGTGTGTGTGTGTGTGTGCTGTTCCTGGGGCTTGAAGTTAATGTGTGCTGTTTATTTTCTCCTTGACACAAAATAGGTGTGTGTGTGTGTGTGTGTGTGTGTGTGTGTGTGTGTGCTGTTCCTGGGGCTTGAAGTTAATGTGTGCTGTTTATTTTCTCCTTGACACAAAATGTGTGTGTGTGTGTGTGTGTGTGTGTGTGTGTGTGTGTGTGTGTGCGTGCGCACGCATGCTGTTCCTGGGGCTTGAAGTTAATGTGTGCTGTTTATTTTTTCCCTGACACAAAATAGTTGTTGTTGTTGTTGTTGTTATTGTTTTGTGTGTGTGTGTGTGTGTGCTGTTCCTGGGGCTTGAAGTCAAGGCCTGGGTGCTGTCCCTGACCTTTTCTGCTAAGTACTAGTGCCCTACCACTTGAGCCACAGCTCTACTTTCTGCATTTTTGGTGCTTAGAGATAAGAGTTTCATAGACTTTTCTGCCCAGGGTGGCTTTGAACCATGATCATCAGATCTCAGCCTCCTGTGCTTGACTACAAAATAGTTCAATGTAGAAAGATGTGCTGGTCAGGATTAGCCAAATTAATCCTGACTAATTTAGAGGAAAAAGAAGGTTGTCTATAAGAGAAGAGGACTGTAGAATATGGGGCAAATATAATAAATAATAACTAATTGGTGAAAAATTTGGAAACTACTAGTACTACAGATTTGTTATTTTAAGTAATTATTATTGGTCTCAGTCTAAATCTATATTAATTTCTTTTGGGCAGGGTGTTCTAAGCCTTGAATACTGTGTGGGTATTATTGGTGGTAAACCAAAACAGTCATACTACTTTGCTGGATTTCAAGGTTAGTAATTTCTTCATCTTTTTTTTTTAAAGTCAGAAAGTTAATATGTGATCATCTGGGAAGCAGGATGATTAACAGAGCAAAATGAGTACCTTATACATTCATCAGTCCTACCATAGCCACTCATTTGTCATTTGGCCCACAAGATAATTGGATTCTAAAAATGTATGTTTAATTTCTGTTATTACATAAACAAGGCATAATTTATTGGTCTCACTAAACTTCAGAAGACACTGCTGCCACATTCTGGCAGTTGCTATTTACATATTTACTTTTTACTAGTTTTGGTGCTGTTAGTTGATGATAAAATGACAAGCAATATGTTTTTCCTGCCAGAATAAAGACGTGCAATACATTTTTCATATGCAAACTGTAGAATATAATTGTGTGTTTGTGAAAGTAATTTTATCTCCCCAAATTAAATGACAGACTCATCACTTTATAAAAATTCTGCTTATACAAGCATATTTGATTATGCAAAAGTTAATCTATCCTGTGCAAACCTATGCTTCTGTCAATGAATATCAGTCTGCCAAGCTGTTACTCCTAGAATTTTTTTTCAGCTGTTCTACATAGAAATTGGATTGTAAGCAGTGTAATAATAAGGTGTTTTTTGAATTACTTGTCTTCTGTTTTGTCCTTGTAGATGACAGTTTGATTTACATGGATCCTCATTACTGCCAATCTTTTGTAGATGTCAGCATAAAGGATTTCCCTCTTGAGGTACTACTTATGAAGAGCTGGTATTGTTTTCTTACTGTATAAAGCAAGCTAATTATTTAGAGATGTGTTGGGTAGTTGTGCTTGTATAGTATTACGACGAGTTAATAATCAATATTTTACTGATTTATAAAACCATCGTCAACACAGTGGTCAAAGGTTAAGTACTTTGTTGCTGAATTTTAATTTGTGATATACTTTCTTGTTCATTTATCTCTGTCTCCAACTTACACTGTTGCCCTACTAAAATAAATGATCAAGCCTCTGAATAAATTTGTAGAAAGATAGCTAAACAGTACTGTAGAACTTAGTTTAGATATAATTTTAAAAGAGAAAAAGAAAGGAGAAATGAAAGAGAAGGTAGACCAACAAAATAAGATTATCTACAAAGTTGTTTTGCTTTAAGTATAGTAATTAAATCTTATCCTTGAAAAAAATCTTAGCCTCTCATTAAGTTTTCAGTAGTTTAATTTATTTTCTTTATTATTTATTAGCCTCTTCTTTCTCCTTGTGTGGGTAATTTTTGTGACCTATAATATTTTAATTAAGAAAAATTTTGAGAGTTTATTATGGAGATGTAATTATAACATGGTTTTGGTTCTTTCTTTACCCCAGCTGATGCTTTTGCAGACTAAAGTAATTTTATTGAATAAAATAATTTCAGTCACTTGAATGGCATGAATCACTAATGCTCAAGGGCTTGACTAGTTGGAAAGATGATTAAATGCTTTGTTTTACTAATAGCTTTCTAGCTAACATTAATGCTTAACGGTATTTAATGACTAGATTATGAAAATAAACTGCAAGATTAAAATTTGCTTTAGAAAGATTATTGAGACATCCTAGAATCCTTTTAAATTTTTACCTCAACTAAAAAATAAATATCTTTTCCTTCCTTCATACATCTTGAATATAAACCTTAATAATATTTGCTAGTTGGCTGACACAGGTGGGAGGTGCCACAGAATTGAGCTTTGTGAACCACAGTGTAATTTCCTTCCTGCTGCACGGTGGTTTTGTGGCACCAGTTCTTAAGTCTAAGTTACATTTTCAGTTTATCTGGGCCAAAATGATTCCTTATAAACAGTAGATATGTGAAATTCACATGGAAAACAGTTGATAGTATTTAATATTACTTAAAATAGGCAAATTAGAAGACTATTAGTATTTATGGTATATAGAGAGACCATCCATCTGATATTTTGAGAGGTTCTGCAAAGACCCCAAGTAAGTGAATATCCTGAGTAAGTCTATGCATTCAGGATTAGAAAGGGCAGTTCATTATTGGGAGTCTGTTGTAACCCTCCAGAAGTAAGGCAATGAAAGCTTGAAGTGGGGAGGTGATAAGAGAAATGGAAAGGAAGAATAGACTTAAATATTTTATTTTGTAAAGTAAAAATTGTTGAAATCTAGTAATGTAAATGCACAGAAGTTATTATGTAGTATTATAAAGTAGATTGTATAGCATTATAAAGTAGATATTATAGTTTCGAAATTCTATAAAATATCTTTTTGCGGGGGGGGGGGGGGCAGTCCTGGGGCTTGAACTCAGGGTCTAGGCGCTGTCCCTGAGCTTCTTTTGCTCAAGGCTAGCACTCTACCACTTGAGCTACAGCACCACTTCCAGCTCTTTCTGTTTATGTGTGCTGAGGAATCTATCCCCAGGCTTCATGCATGCTAGGCAACCACTGTACCACCTTCCCAGCCCAAATATCTTGATTCATTTCGATGTTTTTTCTTGAAAGTCTTTTATTTTCTTGAAAGGATTTAGATTACTTGTTTCAGCCTATTTTCCTATTAATACATTAACTATAAGTTGTCTTTGTACAAGAATAAAATTTTACTCTTTGCTTTTTGTCATGTCTAAAGTTCATAATGTTCCAAGAGAGGGGATTTTAAATTATTCTATATTACTATGTTATAGTAAATTATATGTGTATTCTAAAACTACCCTCCTACCTCATTTACTCATATACTAGTTTTTTTGATCAATACTTTTTTTGTCAATAGATAGAAATTTAAATCTTAGATTATCCAATTCCATGTAAATAATTGCTGTAGTCTTGAAACTTTATGAACGCCTAAATATAATAGGATTATGAATTCTTAAGTTGAATATTAAAATATTTAAATTTGAAAAAGAGTTTAAATAGATTATATTCTTTGCTGTTATTCTTACAGGATTGAGTTCTAACATCTCTAGATTTGAACTTTGAACATTTTGAAACCAAATCAGACCAACTCAGTTCTTTATTTTTAATCATCATTTGCTGGAGCCTTTTTTAGATGCAAGGCATTATCATAAGCTCTTTAAAGTCCTCTGTTTATTTTCTTTCTTCCTTGTAACATCATATGCAATTTAATGCTTTTTAGATTATTTTATGAAATATTTTAGTATGTGCTATTGAGTTATTATTGAGTTATTATATTATTGTTTTTAGCCTTTTTTTTTTTGAAGTGTATGCCATTGTCACAGAAGCCAAATGTTCACACATTCCCCAATGTGTATACTAAATAGAGCTGCTTTTTTGGGGGGTGGAGGAGATGCCAGTCCTGGGCCTTGAATTTAGAGCCTAGGCATTGTCCCTGAGCTTTTGCGCTCAAGGCTACCATCCTAATACTTAGAGCCAGAGCTCTACTTCCAGCTTTTTTGGGATAGTTTATGGACTTAATAGGTTCATGGACTTTTCTGCCTGGGCTTGCTTTGAACCATGATCCTCAGATTTCAGCCTCCTGAGTAACTAGAATTACAGGCATGAGCCACCAGCACTTGGCTTAAAGTCACTTTTTATTTTTATTTAAAAAAGCTAGAATTTTAAAAATTAAAAAGGAATCATACCTTTAAAGCTCAAGAAATTATCACAAAGTGAGTATATTTGTATAAAGCCACTTGGCAAAATATAGTCATTTGTTTTTGAAAAAACAAATGATTCTGAATAATAAATTAATGTTGGCTTGACTTCAGAATTTTGAGCGAACAATACAATGTAGTTTTAATTTAAATGATATAAAATGCCTAAGAATTCTAGTACTTATGCAGTAAACCTCCAATAGCAATTACAGCTTTCAGTGATTAGTAATTTATATTTGTGTTTTTGGTGATAAATTTATGAAACTTTTTTGTAGATAGCAATATAATTGTAAATAACAAGTGTTGTTATATATGATGATGGAGGCAATACAATGATGATGGAGGCACTGCAGTGAATAGAAGCCTATTCTACTTAGTGGTTCCTATATGAAAACTTTAATGCTTTAGTACACTACAGGACACTCTCTTAGATGATTAGAATATATTATTGAACTTTGTACAAACTGTTTGGCTCTCTTTCTTATCCCTAAGTAATAAAAACTAAAGAAGCAATTCTTGTTGATGAATTGGAATGAGTTTGGCTGATGGCTGTATTTATATAACTTGTGTATAGAATAATTTCTCATAGAAATTTCTCGTATGCCTAATGTAATAAGATGTAATAAGATATGTTGTAACTGACATGTTTATTTACTTTTCTGTGCCTTTCTACATCTGTTTTTTTTAACCTATTATTTATTGTAAAGGTGATGTACAGAGGGGTTACAGTTACATAAGTTAGCTAATGAGTACATTTCTACCATATCTGTTTTTAATTTCTTCACAAAAATGTAGGTGAAACTATCAGTAAAATTCCAGTATGATAATCTTTGTATTAACTAGGACCTTGGAGTTTCTGTTTAGGTTGTATCCTACCATGTTTTGATTGTTATGTTTATTTATGATAAACATAACAAATATACATTTTAATACTACTTTAATTTTAATACTACTTTCAAGTTAAAGTGCCTTAGGTGGTGTTTTTTTTTTTTTTTTTTTTCTGGTCATGGGGCTTGAACTCAGGGACTAGGCACTGTCCCTGAGCTTCTTATACTCGAGCGAGCACACTACACTACTTGAGTTACAATTCCACTTCCCGCTTTCTGGTGGTTATTTGGAGATAGGAATCTCATGGACTTTTCTCCTTGGCTTCAAACTGTGATACTCAGATCTCAGCCTTCTGAGTAGTTTAGGATTACAGGCATGAGCCACCAGTGCCTGGCTTAACCTTTAATTTTTATAAAACTTTAAAAAATTCTTACAGAAAAACACTTGGTGGCATGAATGATTTTTAAGGATAGGGTGTTCAAGTGTTCACATTATAAAATATCTTTTAAACACAGTTCCAAACTACTGTGGTGAAGAACAAAAAGATTGGAATGATTAGCTTTATATTTAGCCCTTTTCCCACACTGTATTTTCTAGACCAAATCTCATTAACAAGGGTAGAGACACTAGGGCAGCCTGCCCAGCCCATTTATATCTGGCACTGTGACCACTTGAGAGAAATGAACTTACAGGGAGCATTCGTGAGAAAGAGGGCAAGATTTTAGCTGTCTCATCCTGTGCCTTGTTGAGAATAAGCAGGAATTTAGAGTAAAGCACAATAGAAGTGTTAAATTGAAAAATGCACAGGTATGTACTAGTTCTATTAGTTAATTGCTATTCTTAAAGTTAACCTCCTATTAATACAGGACATTTAGTGAAGGTATACAGATTGCCTTAAAAGGTCTTGATATCCTTATTAGTAGGTTGGTAAACATTAAAAAAAGAATCTCTAACAGGATAGACTTAATTGCAATTTTATAGAAATGGCATTTTAGTGAAACCATTTTTCATCTCTTTTTGTGTTAAAATGAACACAATTTGCTTTCCGATATATAAGGTAATTGGGTAAATTAAATTGTTCACAATTTTAGGTCTTGTGTTTTATAATTTGGGGAGTAGGAAAGACAATGAAAGGACTGAATTGCCATTTGAAAGTGCATTTATAGTTTTGAGAAAAAGCTCCATATCAAATTTTAATAGTCTTTTATATACTTAAGTCCATCAAATAAAGGCAAATTAATTCTAAAGAACTTTAAAAATTACAGACATTCCACTGCCCTTCTCCCAAAAAGATGTCATTTCGAAAAATGGATCCTAGCTGTACAATAGGATTTTACTGTCGAAATGTTCAGGACTTCAAACGAGCTTCTGAAGAAATCACTAAGGTACCTCTATTTAAAATATTATATTTGTGAAGACTTAATTTTTATCATAGCATTTAAGAAGATAAACATGCTAAATTGTGATACTTTTATAAAATTTCTCCTTTATGGGGTGTGTGTGTGTGTGTGCGCATTGTGTAATCTGGACTTGAACTTGGAATCCTTTTTCCTCAGCTTCCCCAGTACTAGGATTACCCTGGATAAAATGTCTCTCTCTGTGTCTCTCTTTCTCTCCCTCTTTTTTTTCCTGGTTCTGGGGCTTGAACTCTGTGCCTGGGTGCTGTCCCTGCCTCTTTCTGCTCAAGGCTAGCACTCTACCACTTGAGCTACAGTGCTACTTCCAGATTTTTCGAGTAGATTATTGGAGATAGGAGTCTCACAAATTTTTCTTCCCAGGCTGTCAGGAATTTCTCTTTTAATGTTACTACTGTTAGAACTATTGCAAATCAGAAAATAAAACTATTCCAGTCAGTGTTTGAGACAAATAAAACTGGTAACTAAGTGAAAAGTATTGATTTTTCCACTAGGTGGCACTGTTGAAATAAAAATCCTGCAAACTGTAGCCCTGAGCAAGCAATTAGGTTATATTCCACGAGAAGAGAAATTTAAAGGGCAATCCCTTAGGGATAAAAAAAAATTAATGAAGTATTTGATCAAGCCAAATTGTGCATTATTTCTTGTTAGTCCAAGTGTTCTTGTATTTTTTTTAAAAGAGAAATGATATTTTTGGATTTCTCAGGACTGCTACATCAGATGAGCTGAGTTGTTACCTTCCAATAAGCTTGTCTAATCTGATCTAGTCTACTTCAGGATCTCTAAAACAGGTTATTTAACTTCTTATTACCTTTAAACTTCTGCATGTTTTTGGTCCTTGACTACCGCTAAAACATTTACAGAGGCTTAATGGTCTGTGAGTGTTTAGTACTTTAGGAAATAAAAAAAAAGATTCCGGGCGTCAGAGGTAAGTATAATTGGATGGGTCTCTATTAGGACCGCTAGTTATAGGTTATCCTTTATGATAAGTGGAATCAATACTAGAATCATTTTTTGAAAATTTTTAACCTGTACTTAGATATAATAGTTATTTTATTAGTTTTACTTCTAGTTAATTTGTTAAGGAAAATGGATATACTTAGTTGAAATTATATTTTTCAACAATGTAAAAAAATAGAATAAAAAGTTAAGTATAAAGTCTCATATAAAGTAGGTTTGTTTTACTTGCCCTGACATGTAGAAGGGGAAACTTGCCAGGAGTGTGACAGGAAAATGAATGAGAAGAGGAAAAAATGAGGCATGGGGGACGTTTCCCGACGCTTCAGCTCGCACAGCGCTGTTGTGTACCCTCCTTGTCGACATGGAGGGCCAAGTAAAGGGAGCAAAGCACGCATTCTTCATTTTTTCTTTCTTTGATACTTGCAGTTGATGGATTCATTTGTATATTTTAGCTTTATAATTGTATTGATAAAGTGATGTGATATTGTGATATCACATGTCAGGTGATATTGTGACATATTGATGCTTTGATGAACATCTTCCATTTAGAAGTTCTATTTTCACCAGTTTGTTTTCTATTTGGATTAAAATAATCATGTTTCGAGCAGTAGAAGAGTCTGTAGAAACAGAACAAAGATTATTTTTTAGCAAGTAAAAAACAATTTACAGATGGCTTGCATATTGATGTTTTCTGTTTAAAAAGAGTTATTAATGTCTTTTACACTGGAGGAATAACTAGAAATTATTGCTTCTAGTGAATCAGTAATATTCATCATTAAGGCAAAGAGAAACTCTTTTGTAATGTTTTGAGAGTACTGAGAATTTTGTGAGATCAGTTAACTTTGCTGATCTTGAGATAATGGAGCTTTGTACAAGCATCAAACACTGTCAGTTAATAACTTAATAATATACTTAAAAAAGATTCTCAAGTACTTTTTCTTTTTTAGTAATTTGCTTTTGGAAGTAGAGCTTTTGGAAGTGGCTCAAAGTGGTAGAATGCTACCTTGAGCAAAAGAGCTCAGGGACAGTGCCCAGGCTGAGTTCAAACCCCATGGCCAACCAAAGAAAAAAACCAAAACATTAATAATAATATACTTTTACTTAGGTAGTCATACATTAAACAGTTTTCCCTCCTTTTCTTTCTTAAAACTTGAATTTGGTATTTTTTATTAATCTATTTTCTTGAGAATTAAAACACCTTAAGAGTTAACTTTTTCTAGAATGTAACTTTGGTTTTCTTATTTTGAAAGTGAAGCTAGAGTCTAGAGTCTCATACTTGTAATGCTTTATGAATGAATATTCTGTGCTGTACAATTTTTAAAATAGCAATAAAATTGTTAAACTGGAGCCCGGAAAATATGTAAGTAACTATTGTATGCAAAGCATAAAATGACTGAAATATAATCTCTGCTTTTGAATAAGATATAAAACATGCCCTCAGGTAACATTTATGCTTGAGGAGGGGGAATAAGACAAGTAGGCATATATTACATTGAATCTGATAAGCATCCATATGGAAATGGAAATAAATTGATAGGGGAAGGAAGGCTGTTGAAATGAGAGAGATGTCACATCCAAGTCAAAGTACTTTATTGTGATGGTGATATTTAAAATGAGTCTTAAAATGTAGTCTAATTTCCATTGACTTGGTGAGAGAGAGGAGTACTTCAAGCTGAGGCAATAATAGGAAAAATTCAGAAGCCCACTGTGGAGCTTACCTAGAGAATGGCAAATAGTACAATTTGTTGGATGTCCAGGATAGATGCAGGGCAAAAGTTTTGTCTTCTGACTGCCTGAATCAGAACCCCTAGGGATGTGGGTGGCCTGGGAGCCTCTATTTTTTTTTTTTTTTATTGTGAAAATACTGTACAAAGGGGTTACAATTACATGGGCAAGATAATGAATACATTTCTTATCAAGCATTGGAGCCTCTATTTTTTTTTATTGTGAAAATACTGTACAGAGGGGTTACAATTACATGGGCAAGATAATGAGTACATTTCTTATCAAGCATTGTAGTCTCCTGGGAGCCTCTATTTTTGACAAGACTCCTGCAATCTTATACACCAGTTGAGGGCCACTGGTGTAAGACAGTGTAACCTATAATTGTGTGACACTTGATGATGTTTTTAAGTGTTTCTAAGGCATACATTATATATCTATGGATATATAAATATATCTATAGACATATAAATAAATATCTGTAGGCATTTATTTATATCCATATTATAAAAGCATAACTAGCATATTAAACATGTGATCTCCTATTTTTTATTATAGAAAGCTACTTCAGTTACAAATGATGAAAAGAAAAATATTCATTAGTCATAAGGGAGATAGCATACATAGCAAACATAATGAGGGTGATGTGTAGATGTCCAAGACTTAGTAACCACTGATATGGGAAATAGTGAAGGATGAGGCTGGAAAAGTGCATTAAAATAACATCATGGATCTTGTATGTTAGTTGAATAACTGCACTAAGAATATACTCACTTTATTATATTAATTTTTAATTTTTAGGCATATAGGAACTGTAAAGACTAACAGAACAAATGTCTTTATTCCATTATTGAGTTTATGAAAAATTTAATTTGGTTATCTTTCCCTGTCTTAATCCTTTTTTCCACCTCCCACTAATAGCTACTGTCCTAAATGAGTATAATACCTATGTATTATATATAACATATAATCACTATATATTCCTTTACATGTTACTTTTTTTTTTCACTAATAGTATGTAACATTTGTGTTGTCTATATAAATATATATGTGTTTATGTATATATCTATATATATATTGAATTTTTTCATTTGCTAGTGACTTAAAGGTAGTCCTTATCTGTACATTTTCATATTATTTATTTAAACGGTGTGTAGTAGACAATTCTACAATATTATATTTAAAGGTTAATTATTTTTTTTTTTTGTCATTCATGGGGCTTGAACTCTGGGCCTGGGCACTGTCCCTCAGCTCTTCAGCTCAAGGCTAGTGCTCTACCACTTGAGCCATAGCACCACTTCTGGTTTTCTGGTAGTTTATTGGAGATAAGAGTCTGGGACTTTCCTGCCTGGGCTGGCTTTGAACCACAATCCTCAGATCTCAGCCTCTTAAGTAGCTAGGATTACAGGTGTGAGCCACTGGTACCCAGCTGGTTAAATATTTTTATTTAAACTTTTGTTTTGTTGATTATTACTTAGCTTGTTTTAAAGAATAAGAATTATTTATTTCATCTTTTAATTCCAAATAATATTTTAAAGAATGTTCTAGTATATATCTCTCTGCAAATGTCTAATATTTTGGCTAAGATTACATTAGGTACAGTAAATACATTAGAGTGGAAGTTCTAAAGACAAAATTTAATTGGGAAGTACAAAAACATTTGTCTTTGAGTATTCATCCCATTTTTCTCAAAGATCATAACTGGTCCGTGAAACCTGCCTATTTAAACCTACCACAAAGTGAGTGAGATGTTACCAAGAGACAAGAAATGTCCTTCTAAATATAATGGCCTAAATAACACAGTTTTGTAACTTGCTTTTAGAATACTTTGATGCCTTGACTTAAGAGATCCTCAGTGTTCTGAACAAGAGTGTGACATATTAGGGGGTAGAATTTCAGAGGGTTTTTTTTTCTTTTTTGAGACAGGGCCATTCTGAATTCTTTTCCTGTAAATGAAATTTTTTTTCTCTGAAAGTTTTAGATTTGAATCTCAATTGCTGCCATCTATTTCTCTCTCTCTCATTCTCTCTGTATATGAAAGAGAGCTGTATAAATACAACATGTATATATATTGTGTAACCTTAGATGTAATATTTAACCTTCTTTAATGAAAACAGTAGTAGCTACTAGCCACCGTAATATAACAACCACTGTACTAGCCATTGTAATCTTCATATTGATGAAAATTAAAGATCAAATAGACAAATGCTTAGTTTACTGTAGCTCTACTTAAACTGTTGAATACTACTATTTATCTCTACTATTCTGAAGCTTCATTATGTTTTTGA